GTCGAGAGTTCTTCGTAACTACTCCACGTTTATTATATATATATATATATATATATATATGTACACATATATACACACATTCATTCAAACATTTGCTCCATTACATACGTATAAACTCGAAATTGTCTATCTTTATCATCATTATTTGGAATGAATTTTCGCAGCGTGCATGGGTGGATTTTCACTGGGTTGCGGTATCGGATGGAGCGCGCCATGCGTTGAACTTTTGAAAGAGGTGCACATGTACGACATATCCGCGATCGCCTTGATCGCCGCGATTTTCCCGTTGGGTGCGGCTTGCGGTTTGCCCATCGTGCCATTTCTGATCGACAAGATCGGTCGAAAATGGTTGATGCTCTCTCTGATTCCGGCCTTCATCCTCGGTTGGGTTTTCATCATAATCGGCGTGTCCGTGTTCGCCCTTCTGGTCGTAGGAAGATTTCTCACTGGCGCGTGTGGTGGCATGTTTTGCGTCATAGTGCCCATGTACTCCGCGGAGATTTCAGAGAAAGAAATCAGAGGTGAAACGGTTTTCTTTTTTTTTTTTATTTTTTATTTATATACGCTCGGCACATCGTATGATTTTTAATGCTTTTCGAGCGACGAGATTATAGAATATAAAATATATATATATCCTCTCGCGTGAAATTTACAGGATCATTCGATTAATTTAAAATTTAGGAGCATTGAACTCTCGAGAAACATTGAAAATCATACAGCATTGCGTACGTGTCATTTTGTGATTCGAAATGCTGTGCAACTTTGTTATCCTATGATTAGGTACTTTGGGTATATTCTTCCAATTGTTGCTCGTGATCGGAATCCTGTACGCTTACTGCTGCGGATACGCTAGAAACGTCGTTACCACGACGGGTCTTTGTTTCATTGGTCCAATTCTGTTTGTTATAATGATGATGTTCATGCCTGAGAGTCCTATGTTTTACATGGTGAAGCGCAACGAGGAGGCTGCCAAAAAATCGATGAGATTCTTCCGAGGACCGGATTACGAAAAAATCGACGATGAGCTCGCTCTATTCAAAGTTAGTGTTCTATTTATTATTCGCTCTTCACCCTATCTCTTTACCCACCGTATATATGAAAAATTTTATCTCAACCTCAATGTTATTAGATTTACAAATTTCTTAATTGTTTTCAATTGTTTGTCTCTCTTATTAACTTTTTGGTTAACCAAAAATTCAATTCGAATTTAATTGACTCGATTAAAATCATTTTCGAATAGAGAGAGAGAGAGAGGTCTTTCTTTCTAGATAAGTCAAATCCGAACCGAAAGTTTATATATTACCTACCATTAAATTATCATAAAATATTGAAATCGTATTTTGAGATCGAAGCAATGGAATTTAATTGACACCAGGAACAAGTAGAGAAAAGCGCGCTCCAGCAAGTGACATTCGGCGCGTTCATGAAGAAACCCGTGTTGAAGACGTTGGGGATCGCTTACGGGCTGATGTTCGCCCAGCAATTCAGCGGTATCAACGCGATCATATTCTACAGCGAGACGATTTTCAAGCAGACAGGCGTCGATCTAGATCCCTTGATGCAGATGGTGGTGTTCGCGGTGGTCCAGGTGATCGCTTGCGTTATAGCTGCTGCGACGATCGACCTAGTTAGTTTTCCACACCGAATCGAGTGAATGCTGCGCTCGATCGATCGATCTTTTTGAGACGCGCACACACACACATATATTTTTCTCAAAAAATATTAACGTCAAAACGCGTGTATCAAGGGTTAATTTCGCGCAGCGTCCACTCGTCTAATTTCGGTTTCATAAAAATGGAACTCCGTTCCGAAAATTGGTTAATTTTTGTAGGTGGGCAGAAAAGTACTCCTGGTAATATCGTTTGCGATAATGTGCATTTGCCTGATAGGTCTGGGCATGTTTTTCATCATAAAAGAAACCAGTCCCGTGACAGCCGACATTCTATATTGGTTACCGCTCCTTTGCGCTTGCTTATACATCCTGTCCTTCTGCCTGGGTGCCGGTTAGTAGATACAATCGAAACAATCGATGCGAAAGCGATTTTTTTCTTTCTTTCTTTCTTTCTTTCTCTAACATGTTCATTCCGGACATAACAACTTCTGAAAATTATCGATTCAGAATTAAAATGTAAATATATAACGTGGGTGACGATCGATAATTAACTCGAATCGTAAATATTTAATTTTGGTTCTTTTTCTTTTTCTTTCTCAAAAAATATAATATAATATAATTTTCTTACGCATTCAATTGTTGCAGAACAATCGTTACTTTACGCGTAGAGATGAGATATGGAATCACCTATATAAAATAGATTTTTCACGCATGCAGCGTAAAAATTCGCTCAAAAATAATTTCACGAAGCGATTCTCCATGTCTGATCGCTAGTTGATTGATTCATTCCGAACTGAACATGTGTCTGTCAAATATTCTTTTTTTTTTTTTTTACACGATAAGATTTACGAAACGTGTCTTGTGGCTACTGAAAAGAAAAAAATATATATATATCATCGTGTCGCAGATATCTTTTTAAGGAGCTAAAAAGTAGTAAGATCGTCGTCGAACGATTTCGACAATTTCAGGATCGACATAATAATAATAATCGTGTATTTTTCCGTGAAAACACAGGTCCTATACCGTGGGCCTATATGGGGGAGATCTTCCCTACCAAGTTAAAGGGGACCGCTTCCACGTCGGCAGCATTGTTCAACTGGATATTGGCGTTTATCGTGACCGTGTCGTTCTCGAGCGTGGTCGAGGCTATCGGGATCGCACCAGTTTTCTTCTTCTTCGCGTTGATCTGCGGGTTGAGCGTGTTGTTCGTGATATTCCTTATGGTCGAGACCAAAGGGAAGACGTTCACCGAGATACAGAGGGAATTCGGAACCTTCGAAATCGAGGAGTAAAAAAATATACATACATATATATATATATACATACATACATACATATATATGTATATATATTGAATAAAAATATATGTCGAATATCTTTGAACGAGATCCAAGAGATTTATCGCTTTGTGAGCGAAAATGAAGAAATATATAAAGAAACAAGAGAGGGGATATATATATATATATATATATAGATAATGACGATTGTTTT